TGCTTTAAACAATAGCCCTAACATTGCTATAGTTAAAAATGTCAGCTGACATGGGGACCAGCAGTTAGCGTAATGGCTATGTCGCTGGACTCCCACGTAGTCGACCGTGGTTCGTGTCTCGAACCCGGTGGCTTGAATCTCATGCCAGGCGTGTGTGTGTGAGTGCCCAAGATCCCGAGAGGAGAATGGAGGAGAAGGGATTGCGGCGTGACCATCCTCCCTGGGGGGTGATTTCTTGCTTTCTGTCTCTATGTCTCTCTCTGTCTGTCTGGCAAACGCACGCGCCCTATGACGAAAACCTCTCCAAAAAAAAAAAATGTCAGCTAATGTGTCTTTTTTCCCTCCCCAGGCTATCCGCTCTTCAAGGGCAAAGGCTGTGTCTGGCTCAGGCCTGTGTAAATCCGGAGAACCCTGCATGGTGCCTGGCCTATCATAGGAGCTCAGTAAACCTCTGCTGAACAAACGGATGGAGATGAAAGAACGAGCACTCCTCACAGGGGACCCTCACGTCGGCAGGAAGCACATGCTGCCGTTGCTCTGGTGGAGCAGGGAAAGGCAGGTGTGGGCAGCTGGTGCTGTGGTCCAGTGTGCACACACCGCTAGAAGGCGGGCTTCTAGGTTTGGGTGTAAGAGCCAAGAGTGGATCCAAGGGAGGAATCTCCGTAAAAGACAGAAGGAAATGGGTGAAGATGCTTCCCCAACAGAGAGTTACCTGCGTGAAAGCTTCCTTATTAGACAAATATTTTGACACCTGTCATGCAATGCCTCGGTTCTAGGCACAAAGTGATGAGCAAAGGGGATGTGGCCCTCACCTAGTTAGAGGTGAGTGAGGAGGTAGCTATGACGTGGATCTCGTAAGTAAGCCTATGACGGAAAACCATGCTGAGGATGACCACAGAAAGCATGGGGTGCCATGGAAGAGACTGACGGAGGGAACAGGATTTAGTCTCACAGGTGAATGACATGAGCTGAGATGTGCGGCTATCCAAAAGGCTGGGGACAGAGGTGTCTGGCAGGAAGAGCCTGCCCACTGGAGGACCTGTGGAAGGGCAGAGGCCAGGGCACGGTGACTAGGAGGGGATGCAGCCTAAGACAAGGTAGGTGAGCAGCCTTCTGCAGGGCTTTGTTTCACTGTATCCTAAGTTCAGCTATATGGGAAGCCAGTGAAGGGCTTTACGTATGGGAGACTGGCGATGGAGCAGAACACGGGGAGCGAGAGGGAGCCATGCAACTGCTGGTGCCATTTGCTGGCACAGAAATAAGGGCGGGCACATCTGGTGGAGTTTGGCTGTGAAGCTGTCACACCTGCTGTATCTGTGAGACACCCAAGTGGGCGTTGGGTCACGTGGGCCACTGGACAGACAGGTCTGGAGCTCACAAGAGAGGAGATGGCTAGGGGGATGAACGTGACAGGGATGGGGCACATGTGTGGCTTCTACAGTCATGGAAGTAGACAAGACCATTTCAGGAGTGAATGTAGAATGAATCAAAAAAGCAGACCAGAAAAAAAAACAGGAAAAGAAGGCAAAGGAGGATTGTCAGTGAAGTGAGAGGTGGGAGGAAACCCACAGAAACGTGCAGCTTCAGAAGCTACAGTGTTGAGTGGAAAAGAGAGAGATGGGGAGGTGAGGAGATTGTGGCGTGACTGCTTCTCAGGAGGGGATGCTTTCATCTCTCCCTCTGTCTCTCTCTTCCATCTCTCCATCTCTTTGTCTCTCTCTGGAGAGTGAACATGCCCTCTAGCAAACAAATAAACAAAAGAACTTCACTGTTCAGGTGATGAAAAAAAAATCCTAAAATTGACTGTGACAATGGCTCTCCAACTCTGTGAGCATACCAGGGCATAGTCCTGTTCATAAAATGGGCATTTTCTGCACATACGACTGCCTGCCCTCACCATTCCTGGATCTGACTTCTAAAACACTCATTTAGAGATGAAAATATCAGTGCTTTAAACAATAGCCCTAACATTGCTATAGTTAGCTATGTCGCTGGACTCCCACGTAGTCGACCGTGGTTCGTGTCTCGAACCCGGTGGCTTGAATCTCATGCCAGGCGTGTGTGTGTGAGTGCCCAAGATCCCGAGAGGAGAATGGAGGAGAAGGGATTGCGGCGTGACCATCCTCCCTGGGGGGTGATTTCTTGCTTTCTGTCTCTATGTCTCTCTCTGTCTGTCTGGCAAACGCACGCGCCCTATGACGAAAACCTCTCCAAAAAAAAAAAATGTCAGCTAATGTGTCTTTTTTCCCTCCCCAGGCTATCCGCTCTTCAAGGGCAAAGGCTGTGTCTGGCTCAGGCCTGTGTAAATCCGGAGAACCCTGCATGGTGCCTGGCCTATCATAGGAGCTCAGTAAACCTCTGCTGAACAAACGGATGGAGATGAAAGAACGAGCACTCCTCACAGGGGACCCTCACGTCGGCAGGAAGCACATGCTGCCGTTGCTCTGGTGGAGCAGGGAAAGGCAGGTGTGGGCAGCTGGTGCTGTGGTCCAGTGTGCACACACCGCTAGAAGGCGGGCTTCTAGGTTTGGGTGTAAGAGCCAAGAGTGGATCCAAGGGAGGAATCTCCGTAAAAGACAGAAGGAAATGGGTGAAGATGCTTCCCCAACAGAGAGTTACCTGCGTGAAAGCTTCCTTATTAGACAAATATTTTGACACCTGTCATGCAATGCCTCGGTTCTAGGCACAAAGTGATGAGCAAAGGGGATGTGGCCCTCACCTAGTTAGAGGTGAGTGAGGAGGTAGCTATGACGTGGATCTCGTAAGTAAGACTATGACGGAAAACCATGCTGAGGATGACCACAGAAAGCATGGGGTGCCATGGAAGAGACTGACGGAGGGAACAGGATTTAGTCTCACAGGTGAATGACATGAGCTGAGATGTGCGGCTATCCAAAAGGCTGGGGACAGAGGTGTCTGGCAGGAAGAGCCTGCCCACTGGAGGACCTGTGGAAGGGCAGAGGCCAGGGCACGGTGACTAGGAGGGGATGCAGCCTAAGACAAGGTAGGTGAGCAGCCTTCTGCAGGGCTTTGTTTCACTGTATCCTAAGTTCAGCTATATGGGAAGCCAGTGAAGGGCTTTACGTATGGGAGACTGGCGATGGAGCAGAACACGGGGAGCGAGAGGGAGCCATGCAACTGCTGGTGCCATTTGCTGGCACAGAAATAAGGGCGGGCACATCTGGTGGAGTTTGGCTGTGAAGCTGTCACACCTGCTGTATCTGTGAGACACCCAAGTGGGCGTTGGGTCACGTGGGCCACTGGACAGACAGGTCTGGAGCTCACAAGAGAGGAGATGGCTAGGGGGATGAACGTGACAGGGATGGGGCACATGTGTGGCTTCTACAGTCATGGAAGTAGACAAGACCATTTCAGGAGTGAATGTAGAATGAATCAAAAAAGCAGACCAGAAAAAAAAACAGGAAAAGAAGGCAAAGGAGGATTGTCAGTGAAGTGAGAGGTGGGAGGAAACCCACAGAAACGTGCAGCTTCAGAAGCTACAGTGTTGAGTGGGACCGAAGGGTGAGAGCAGGGCCAGAACCGCTGGGCTGACCACGAGCATGTCAGCAGAGTGCAGGTGGAGGACAGACCCTGTGCGAGTGCAAGGCGAGGAAGCCATGGGACTGCAGGGCAGAGGGCACCAGGAAGGGAGTGAGCAGGCCAGCAATCAGGCAAGGGAGCCGTCAGATGGGCTCCTGTGTGTCTAAATACTGACAGTCTTGCTCTGATGGGGTCCTCTGACTTGTTGACAGTGCTGCTCAAATGGTCTGAAAGTAAAAAACAATTTTTTTTTTAAGTTGTCAGAGGGTACATGTGGTCGCCAGAGAGAGACCGGGGAAGAAAGCACTCTTCAACAGAGCGTGGTCAGCTGTGATCCCCTCTCTTTCATTTCTCCATTTCGTCAGGATTTTGGGCACATATGCACAAGTGCCCTGTGGAGGGCACTGCATACGGGAGCCATCTTAAGAGCTATCCACCATCTTAGAAACCTTTGAGTTTCACTTCCTCCTTGAGCAAACAATAACAACAGTCCCCAGAAAGCCATATCAGACTCCTGATGGGCTCCCTCTGAATCATACCTTATTTGCATTTTGGGCAACCAATCAATGCCCACCAGCCTGTATATAACTTGCCATTCTTCCTCAATAAACAGAAGACTTGATCGGCACCTCGTCTTGTCTCCACTCTGTGTGTCTGTGTGAGTTTGTCCCCTTTCTTCGCTCCCTCCCCCAGGTGACTGTTTGACTGTCCTGCGGGTTGGGACAGTGCCCAGTGTGTTTTTCAAGCTGCTGAGGCTAGAATTCAAGACATGTCCCATGGTTTGAATGGCCATGTTCCACTCCCTTAACCACTAGGCTACAGGGCAGGCCCTAACACATGGTTTAAAATAATGAACACTTTTTTGAAAGCTTAAGTGCTTTAGTTCTTATTGCTGTTCGGATGTCTCTAAGCTACTGGAAGTTTTTTAACAGTTCAATATCCAGGCAGTAACAGTCATAACAAAACTCCTAAGAAGAATATTTTAAGAATCAGGGTAACGAATGTAAACCCCAAATCCTGACCGCCCTTTGCCCCATCACTTTCGATCCTCACGTTGCTCGGGGTATTTCAACCTTACACAGCTTTTGATAAATGACTTTAAAATTAAAACCACACTGGGGAACCAGCAGTTAGCATAATGGCTATGTCGCTGGACTCCCACGTAGTCAACCGCGGTTCGCGTCCTGGACCCGGTGGCTTAAAACTCACGCCGGGCGCGTGTGCATGCGTGCCCAAGATCCCGAGAGGAGAATGGAGGAGAAAGGACTGCGGCGTGGCCATCCCCCCCGGGGGGTGATTTCTTGCTTTCTGTCTCTATGTCTCTGTCTGTCTGGCGAGCGCACGTGCCCTATGGCGAAAACCTCTTCAAAAAAAAATTATAAAAAATTATAATAATTAAAACCACACTGTAGAAAACAGAAATAAAACAGTTCCAACATTAGACATTCCTAAAGTCTCACCAGGTCTTCTTTCAAATGCAGTGCTGATTAAAACCAGAGGTGTGTTCACTTCCTCTGTGGAAGAAGCCCCGTGACTTCCTGTTTCAGACATGCCATGATCACCACAAAGGACCAGCAAATTGGGTAAAGAAGACTCTCTCTCCTATAAGGCAAAGGAAAAATATTTCAACAACATTCAGACAGATGAGAGCACACAATATTTATAACAGAACAACTTTAGATTTTAGCTTTACTTTAAAAATAATAGTTCTTCCTCAAATTAATTTCTTTTTCCTATAAGTTTATAGCCAGATCAAAGGGTCAAAGTCAAATACTGACAGAAATGAAACACACAGAATGCTGTGCAGAGCACAAGAGGGTTCTGTTTCCAGCCTCTGAAGCAGAGGACCTGTATTTGGTATCTGTCTTTGCCACTTCCAAACTCTGGGAGCCGGAGCACATTACTCTTCATGCTTCAGTGTCCTACGTGTCAAACAAAGAGAGTACTGGGATGTGCTTCCCAGGACTGCTGCGAGGACACAGAGCACACAGCATGAGCTCTGAGTTTGCAGGGAGCACCATGAGACTTGGCCAGTCAGCTTCCACTGTCCTGGGTAAGCATGAGCTTTGCCACTTCTCCAGCTAAACACACCTGCACGCAGCGTGCCCACCCCTTGCTCCCTTCAAGTTTCTGCTCATACCACACACATCCTCGTGGAAGGTTGCTCTGCACTCTATGTAAACCCCAAGCTCTCCTTGGGATGGGATGCTGGGCCTTCCTCCTGCCCTGTTTTTCTGTGGCCCAGTCACCTTCTGGCACAATATTGGCTTGTTTACTGCCTTTCTTCTTTGTCTGTCCTGGCTAGCACAGAAGCTCCTGAGGGACTACTGACTGCCTCAGTGAGGCACCAAAATGCATGGCCTGGAACAGAGAGAGTTTCAGGAAACATTAGCCGAATGAGCTGACAGATGGGTGGAAAGAATAGGCCTGCTGGGAGGGCTGGGTGAGGCAGTGCAGGGGAACACAGACCCAGCTCCATTTGTGGCATGGAAGCCATGGCTGGCAGCTGGCAGACTGATGGTGGACATGACGTGCACCAGGTCACCTGGATTCATGCAGGCAGGTCCTCTCCTCCAGGAAATACCGACAATGAGAACTCCACCACTGCTCACCTTCGATAGCAGCGCGGTGTGAATCTTCATCAGCACACTGTCCATCTCACTGAGCTTGCGCCCAATCAGGGGGCTGTAGGGCCCGGAAATGTGGCCGATATGGTCCAGCCCTAGGTAGTGGAGGATGAGTATGTCCCAATCTCCTCTTTTTAAGACTTTATCCAAATGCCTTGTGACATTATTATCCACCTTTAAAGGAGGAAAGGAACATATAAATAGCTCACCCAATTTTCCCCTCCATATTCACTCCCCAAGGGAAAACATAGGCAGTTAATTGATATTTTAAAATCTGAGGGTTTATTTTAGGAAACAGGAAGCATGGGAGTTCAAAAGACAAACAAATCTACCCTTAAAAATAAATAAAGAAGTGGGACCAGCAGTTAGCGTAATGACTATGTCGCTGGACTCCCATGTAGTTGACCGTGGTTCGTGTCCCAGACCCGGTGGCTTAAACTCATGCTGGGCACGTGTGCGTGCGTGCCCAAGATCCCGAGAGGAGAATGGAGAAGGGACTGTGGTGTGGCCATCCCCCCTGGGGGGTGATTTCTCGCTGTCTCTGTCTCTCTCTGTCTGTCTGGCAAGCACATGCGCCCTATAGCAAAAACCTCTTCCAAAATAAATAAATAAATAAGTGAACATTAGCACTAGATTAAGTTTTTTCAAATACTGTTTCTATGTTTCTGGGTTGTAAACATATTATGCAGATGATTTAAGTGAGCAAGGGTTGTTCTGACAATAAATTCTTTTCTGTGGGATCCCTGTTGAATCCTACAGCCCAGCTGTCACAAGAGAACAGAGTGAAGGGCAGTTAACCAGATGGAACAGCTCAGAGTTACAGCAGGGAGCTAAACGATGGCGCGGAGGCATCTGTGTGTCCAGTGAGAAGGCTGTTCTTGGAAGGAACGAGACGTAGCACTCAATGATCACACCTTTCTGAAATAAATAAGTCGAGGAGAACCCAGAAGAACTGCTGGGCCGAGCAGCCCCAGAGCCATCAGCCTGGTCAGTACTGACCTTTGCTAGACCACCTCTTGCACACTAAAAGAATGTTTTACAAAGAGAAGTGTTTCTGAGTGATACTACGTGGAATGGGGAAACTCAGCCATAACAGGAGTACCTGCCATGTCCACACAGCAAGCTATAGGGACATCACTCTAGAGGAGCGTGCTGATGTCAGCAGATGGCACATGCTGCACCAGGCCCAGCACACCAAGAAGCCGTCCAATCCCAATGCCAAGCACAGATGCGTTGGTACACTGCTGCATCTGCCATAGGTTCAACTTTTGAATGCCTGGTTCTAATCAGGCTCCTATTCTTGCTGGAACTGGCACTCTCAGTATCGGGCAATGCTCTCCAGGACCAGGCTCTGCGTGGCCCATCACCTGTCCCCACAACAAGATGATGTTCTACAGGTAAGAGAACCAAAGCGCTTCAGCGATCCCAGGCAGGCATGACATGCTACAGCTCTGCTACATACGTGAGCTGACATCACATTTTGTCTACTTGGCAAGTTCCCACCCACCTGGTAAAACTTGGTTCAAGGGCCAACCCCACAGTACAGTGGTTAAGGGAGACAGACTCCCATGGCCAATCGTGCAGTCCAAATCCCGGTCCTAGCTGCTTGAAACACAACCCATCGACGTCTGTGTGCATGTCCAAATCTTGACAAAATGGAAAAAAGTAGGAGAAGGGATTGCCGTGTGACCACGCCCCACTGAGGAGTGCCTTCTCTTTCTCTCTCTCCGGTGAGTACACATGCAACCCTGATAAATTAAAAAAAGGAAAAGTCTGCTGTGTACCCCTGGTCCTTTATACTCCTCAATGAGCACTGAGGATGCTTTGGACTCCACAGACCTTTGCTCGGACCTGCATGAGGGTTGATATCCTTCGGTTGTAACTGATCATGTGAATGGTTATTTCTTATAATCTCTTCACATTACCCCTAATAAATTAGTAAAACTACATACAAAATAATACCATTTCCCACTAAGTTATGATGATGCTGGGGTCTACCCAGTATGATATATTTCTCTTATTTTAAAAACTTGGACCAGCAGATGGCACAATGGTTACAGAACTGGACTCTCACATAGTCAACTGTGGTTTGAGTCCTGGACCCGGTGGCTTAAACATCACACCAGATGTGTGTGTGTATGTGTGTGTGCACAAAATCCTGAGAGGTGAATGGAGGAGAGGGGATTGTGGCATGGCCATCTTCCCTGGGGAGAGGGGGTTATTTCTTGCTTTCTGTCTCTTTGGTGAGCACAAGTGCCCTATAGCAAAAATCTTGCAAAACAAAACAAAACAAAACAAAAAAACAACCCTAAAAAGCAAACACACACACACAAAACTGACCTCTGGGGCCAGCTGATGGCATGGTGGTTAGGGTGCTGGACTCTCACAAGGCAGATGCTTGAGTCCGGGACCTGCCAGTTTGCTCTCTCACTTTTCTTCTTTCTCTCTCTTTCTCTGGTGAGCACGTGTGCCCTATAGCAAATCAGAAAACAGCAATAGTCCATAAAAATAAATAAACAGTTTTTTTTTTTTTTTTTAAATACTGACCTCTGTGTAATCTGATACAAAAAATGAGGTTGTTCCATCATATTCCACAAAGTGCTTTGGGAATAATTTAACCCATGTTTCATCTCCATAGAAGATTATTCTTTTCCCGGCTGCTTTTGCTTGTTTTATCACATTGTCTTCCAGCAGTGCAGGAGAATTGAGGTTCCTGACGACATCGACAAAGCCAGGGAGGCTCCCAGTCATCAACGCCTGCAGGAAGAAACATTTAAGAATCAGACCATGGTGCACAGCCACAGTGGCACCAATGACAGGTGGGCTGCTGTGTGATGCTGGAGGCCACGCAGGAAGACTCTAGGTTCACATTCTAGGTCTGACTCTGTCAGAGTCCCACTTAAGCGTCACATCTTTTATGGGACAAGCAAATTCCATAACTCAAACTCTGAACCTGAATCAAGTCAATAATCTCTAATTTTAGCACAGACCCCAGCAGGCCATAGGAATTTGGTAACAGATCTCCATAATCTGAAGTGATACAACCACCAACCACAGTTGTAAACAGGAATGTGGATGTTAACAGGTGTAACAATGTCACCAAGACTTCTCTAACAATAAATAAATGCAAATATGAATTAACTAGACTTCTGGAATGCCAGAGTGAGGGGTTTAGCAAATCCTCTCCTCCAAGAACAGTGATAAAACTGGATGAAAATGTCAAAAGCAAAAACATGAGGGACTTTAGAAATTCACCAAAATTATACAACTGATTGAGAAGGGCTTATTCAAGGAAAAACTACTGAAATCCCTATAAGTACTATTGCTATTTTCACATGCGGTTGGCTCCCATCTCCTCTCCTCCCAGCTTCCTGATATAGCAGCCATGGAGGGCCTGGCCCAATGTGGCCCCACACCTAGGGAGGTTGTAAAGACACAACAGGGAAGACCAACATCACAACTGCCTGAGGTTGGCTGTGATAAGTCAAGGCTGGTTGTAGTAAGTAAGAAACCAGCTGGAAATTTGAAAAGAAGGTCTAGGGAATGAGACAGCTATGTAAGTAAGCTCCCACGAATTCCTGGGAATCTGTAAAGCATACATAGGAGAGACCAGAGAAGGCCCCAGTTACCTACTTCTGGCCGAGCAGGAGGCTCTGCTTAAACCAGTGACTTGGGCAGACTCCCAGACTGTATGAACAGTGAATGTGTCTCCTAACCCACATAGAACCCAGCAGAAAATGGACACTTTATTGCATGATGTACTAAAGCACAACATCTGATCAATCACTGGATGCCCACTAAGCTATGCTGGGCCAGGGAGACAAGCGTAATAAGAAACAACTGCCCAGACGCCATGGCTCAGCAGTAACATGTCACTGTTACCGGAGGCCATCTAGAAGATCAGGGCTTGTGTTCTGTGTCAGCCTGTACACACACATGGCCGTGATCCTGGCTGGCTGAGAAGGCTGCATGGAGGATTGCTGCATGAGACCCTGTTGAGGATGCCTGTCTTTCTCTCTCAAGAAAAAAAAAAATCGACTTAAAATTAAATCAAATCAAATTAAATCATCATCATCATCATCATCATCAAAACCTCAGCAGAGACACCACTGTAGGGGAGACAGACTACACAATTAGTTAAGGCAAATTACTGTACAGCAAGCAGACAAAACGGCAACTACCACCACCACTCCCGGGAAGATCAGATTCCAGAGTCGAGGTAAGGGTTGCTTGGATATGCATGTCAAATCTCATCACACTGTACATATAACAATGTATGCACTGCATTGTATGAAATGATATCTCTTTTTTTGAGAGGTTTTTGCTATAGGGCACGTGTGCTCGCCAGAAAGACAAAGACAGAGAGACAGAAAGCGAGAAATCACCCCCCGGGGCAGGGGGGCGGGATGGGCACACTGCAACCCCTTCTCCTCCATTCTCCTCCCGGGATCTTGGGCACGCACGCACACACACACGCGCCCGGCGTGAGTTTAAGCCACCGCGTCTGGGACTCGAACTGCGATCAACTACATGGGACTCCAGCGACATAGCCATTACTCTAACTGCTGGTCCCTGAAATGACATCTTTATGAAATTTTTGAACATGTAAGTTTGTCTCACCCCACAGCTCCACTCTTTAAAGGTATCCAGTGGCTTCTCACGAGTAACCTTTTGGACTCTTTTCTGTATATACATAATCACAAGTACAAAGGTATATGTTTCTTACCAAAATGGTAACAAACTATACAAATTATTCTGCAATTTGCTTTTGTTTTTCAATGAATCACACAGTAGGAATGTCTTTCCCCAGGAAACATACAGCTACCTTCTCTCTTTAAAAATAGCTACAAAGGGGGACCAGCAGTTAGCGTAATGGCTATGTCGCTGGACTCCCACGTAGTCGACCGCGGTTCGCGTCCCGGACCCGGTGGCTTAGAACTCACGCCAGGCACGTGTGCGTGCGTGCCCAAGATCCCAAGAGGAGAATGGAGGAGAAGGGATTGCGGCGTGACCATCCCCCCTCGGGGGTGATTTCTCGCTTTCTGTCTCTCTGTTTCTCTCTGTCTGTCTGGCGAGCGCACGCGCCCTATAGCGAAAAACCTCTCCAAAAAAAAAAAAAATAGCTACAAAGCAGCTATGTGGACAAACAGTAGTATATTTAACCCAAACAATTTTAATGGAAACTCATTTTGAAAAGCTGCCTATGGAAGAGTTGTCTGAGCTGTGACCTGAGACCTGAAGTGTGAAGAGTTGTTGAGGTGAGGTGAGGCTTTCCAGGGGAAAACACAGCAAACACAGGAAAAAGCAGAACACAAGGAACAGGGCCATGAGCACTCTGTGCGGACAGACACGGAGAGCGGGAGAAGAGCCTAGATGGGGATGGGAAAGTAAACAGGGGCAAGACAACACAGGCCCTTGAGGTCTGGATTAAGAAGCTTGGTATTCAAGTCAGGTAGAGGGTTTTGTTTTTGTTTTTGTTTTTTTAAGGTTTTTGCCTCAGGGCATGGGCACTCACAGGAGAGAGACAGACAGTGAGAGGGAAAGTGAGGAATCACGCTCCAGGGAGGACGGCCATGCCACAATCTCTTCTTTCTTCTTCTGAGATTTTGGGCAGGCACACATACATGATTTTTCAAGACACCAGGTCCAGAGTTTGAACTGCAGTTGGCCATGTGGGAGTCCAGTGCCTTAACCACCACGCCACCTGCTGGCCCCAGGCAGAGGGTTTCAAGAAGTAAAGCTGCATGACCTGATTTATTCTGCATGGGATCTGAGCGGGAAGAGGCTCTGGGAGACTTCTACCTCCTAGGCTGGAGACCTTAGCAGATGACCAAGGTGGGGGCAATACAAACATTCGTATTTACAGCATTTAATAGCATCTGTTCACCTCATGTTTTGTGAAGTTACTAAGGAGGATATTTCTTTTTCTTTTCTTTCTTTTCTTTTTTAAGAGAGATTTTTTTCTATAGGGCATGTTTGCTCACCATAGAGACAGAGACAAAAGGCAAGAAGTCACCCCCCCAACCCCCCAGAGTGCCATGCTACAATCCCTTCCCTTCCGTTCTCCTCTTGGGATTTTGGGCAAGCACACACACGCACCCAGCATGAGTTTTAAGTTGCTAGGTCTGGGACTCAAAACAGTTGACCATATGGGTGTCCAATGACATAACTATTATGCCATCTGCTGGTCCCAAGGAGGATATTTCTTGGGTTAGGCTGGGCTGGGTGATTTGGCTCCAAATCCTTTGTACCTGCCATGAAGCGTGAGGTCTGAGTACTTGATGAGGGGCACAAGTCATGGGTCTCAGTTCCACCCTATCTGTGCAGATCCTTAAACACTCAATTGCTCCAGCCAAACTGACAGCACCAAATTCTTTCTTAGCTATTCGATAAAATTCAGGCTCCAAGTAAAAGACAATGGGGATCCCCCTAAACCTTTGAAAAAGCCATACCACAATTTAGAAAACATTAAGTCAAGCGCACCTTGATTCGAGGCATAGTAACTGTAGGTGGCTTTGCTTCAGCAACGAAACTGTGAGCTGCTCCTTTTTCCACGAGATAGGTTGTGTAGGGCATAAATTTCACACCCTTGGCCCCAAACACAAAATCATCCCTCAAGGCATCTATCAACACAATAACAACTTTACTGAAGAGAGGTGGTGGGAGCTTGGTCCAGTTGGAACTGGCTCCTAAAAGGGTTTGAAAGAAGAAAAAAAGGAAATTTAATCTTCAATTTTACTTAGTATCCAAGTACCTTAATAATCCAGCTACTGCCTACTGCTGTGCGTATCAGGCCATTTCCACCTCGAAGAAAAAGGCCTGTTCTTGGTAGGCAGTATTGGGGGGAGGGAATATTAACTATGAGTAAGCTCAAGGGGTCTTGGTAATACTGAATTGCCCTTAGAATGGTGAGGAGTTCTAGGGTAGGGGAGTCCCCACGACAGGGTCTTGGACTGGACATGTAGGGAGGAGGGCCTACAACACAGCACTGTGGGTAGAGGATGGGTGTGTTAACAAACACTGTGGCTTGTACATGTGAAGACCTGGTCCAGAACTGGAGACTTTCTGGGTGTATTCCTGGATATGTGAGGGCCAAGAAGGAGCCTACTGCAAGGCCTTAACTATTGGAGGGAAAAGGTCTTAGAGAAACGTAATGGAAGAAAACGCAAGAGGGCCGGTTAAGAGTCTTATCTGTTCTATTCTAGCAGGCAAAAAGGGTGTCCGGGCCAGGGAGTGACCCTGAGGCCTACTCAGGACAGGGAGAGAGGGGTCGCTATACAAGTACAGTTGGGGAGGGAAGGAAGCCCGGGTTGTGGTGCTCAGGGAGGAAATTCGAGGGGGCAATTGTCACAAAGTTGGAGCATACAGAAGAAAACGATAGGGCAATAAAAAGAGGTTTCCGGGGATGGAGATTAGAGCGGAAAAGGTGACCACCGCGGAGGGCTGGTCTGTGGCGCTCAAAAGGAGGGTCCTCCGGGGGGAAGTGGGGCCGGGGATCGGAGACCCCTGAGGAGGGATCCGTACCAGCCGAGGGTTCGGGCGCTGGGGGCTCTTTGTGCTCGGTCCTGGCAGAAGAACGAACCGGAGCCGGGAAGAATCCCCGAAGGAAGACCGCGGTCCCGAGCACCTCGATCGCTACGCAACAGGCAGCGAAGGTCCCGGAGCCCAGCCGCATCGCGCCCGCTCGCTGGGCCGGGATGCAGGATCCCGACCGCAGTTCAAGCCGTGCTCAGGTGCAGCAGCTTCCGGCTCCAGGGAGCAGCTCTTATGCGAGAGCGAACAGGTATGACAGGAGAAAGCGCCCTCGGTGGCGTCACGTCCGCCGGCGCGCCGGAAGTACGCAAGGGGTGGGGCCTATCGGGTGCTCAAGGGCTCTCTTCCCGAAGTGTCCCCGCCCCGGACCCGCCCCACACACGCTCACTC